CGTGAAGATGTCCCTAAAGAGAGCAGAATGACGCGACAATTGCGATACATGGACTCTGAACAGAGTATTCTCTGCCTGGCAGATAACCGAGCCGTCATTAAACCAAAGGTCTGCGTGTCGCTGCAGTTCCGAAAAATTCGTCACAGGGCTTTTGAGCGACGACGGCTCGCTGCTGGAAGCGACAGACACTGCAAGACCTGCGGCTGGGTGGGGGAGGTGGAGGTAGTTGAGGTGGATGAGAGGCTATTACTCTGATCGGCCCGGGGCATGCGGCCGTTTGGCTTAGTTGTGCAGGTTACAATATGTGAGACGCGACGCGTCAAATTCAATTTCCATTGTTTTTCATTTCAAGTATTATTAACCGTTACAGTTCGCGCTCCCCGAGTTGGTCGACTAAAGCTTTCAACTCTTCGGCTTCAATGAGCTGTTGGAGACTCGGATCTGCGGTCTCGCCGATTTCTCTCTCAATTCGACGCGAACGTGCCACATCCTTTGAGCTGAGCTCGGAGACTGCCTTCTTCACACATCTTCCCAAGTTGAGCCCTCTTTCGCAAGCTCATCTACAAGTTGATCCTTGATACGTCGGCAAGCACTGCGCCATCATAGCCGAATCCGGTGTACACTTGCACGAGAGACGCTCCTGCTTTTGCGTAATCTAGGGCATCCGCACCAGTGAAGATCCTCCGCAGCGTGAGAGGAATGCGAGCGGGAGGTTTGTTCGCAAGTCCGGAGAGCAGCCAGTGAATATTGTTTCAATGGGGCACCAGACAACACCGTTTCGGATTTATTGCTGAGCAGCAGGAATTAGTACGGGAGGTGGGTAGAGGAACCATGATGCTCACGGTCAACGAGATCTAAAGGTCTTTGGATGGTAGTGTTGCTCACGATAACACCCGTCAATGCTTGTCTTTCAATGACTTCGGCAATTTCGACTAGCTGGTCTTTTGTCAAGTCCGGGGCGATCTTGAGCACTAGTTTTGGTTTACGCGCAGAAGATGGCAGCTGCTCCCTGGCAAGCGTAACGCCAGCTAACAACGACTCCAGAAGGTCCCGATTTTGTAGTCCACTAACTCGGTAGAGTCATAAAAACTCGGGACGCGAGCGATGCTACGTACCGCAAGCCTGGGGTATTTGGGCTCGACACGTTGATAACCAAGACGTCGGAATGAGGACCGAAAGTTCGCACACCGGCTACAAAATCGTCGATTGATTCCACTGTCGACTCCTTGTTCTTCCCCAAGTTGACCGCAAGCATTGCACCTGGACGGAAGGCGGCCCCATGGTCGTCGGAAAAGAAGCGGGGTATTCTTGCTCTTAGGCGCGAGAGAACAGACGCGTGGCCTTCGGAAGGAAACCCGTAACGGTTGATCAGGCCAGAATCTTCTGGCAAGTGAAATACACGAGGGCGAGGGTTTCCCGGCTGGCTGAGATATTAGAAAAAACAAGCGGGATACGAGTACGGCGCACCTGGGGCTTGGGTGTTACGCTGCCGATTTCTACCCAGCTGAAACCAAGATTGAAAAGCCCTAAACAAATCTTGTCAAGGATACATTCATGTCAGGTGAGAACGTACCATCTATCGCCTCTCCATTTTTGTCGAAACCTGCCGCTAATCCCACAGGATTGGAAATCTCTTGTCCCCAGAGCTAGCACAGTGTGTTGGCCTTGTTCCTCGATTCATAAATGTTAACTAACCTCTGATTTGAGCCGCGTGTCATCGTCTACAGGATCGCGAGGAGCAAGACCACTTTTGAGGACCTGTACAGCAACTTTGTGGCTTGTCTCCGCGTCGAGTGCATATCTCAACAGCGGGGCGAACACATAACGGTGGATGGCTGAGCGTGCATCGAGGTAGTAAATTGTGAAAAGCCCCGCAGAAAGAACGAAGACGGTGCCATAGAGACCGGATCGAATGGGCGTGCGAGGGGCGGGGGCTCGGGTGAATAGACCGCGAGCAAATGCAGAGCGAAGGACGCCGTGGTTGCGGCGAAACATGGCGATTGTCACGCAGAATGGCCTGTCACGTGAAATGATGCGCCAAACAAGCTACAGTACCACTACGCCGTCGTCCAAATTGGCCCAAGTGCAGTGCCCTGGGAGACATAATCGCCCGATTTGGACATGGCTCATGTCCAAATCAGGCATGACGGGCGCCAGCTCATCTTTCCTCCTCCTTCATTCCTGCCTCAATTTTTGACGCCGTAAACCCGAAATTAGAGCCAGCGTAGCCACCGAACAGCTCTAGAATGTCCTACAACCACATCTACAGCCACAAGAAGCTATGATTGACCTCGAATCTCGGGACTCTAGCGCCGCACTTTCCTGCTCAAATCTTTCAGCAGTGTGTTCACGGAGATGGTACCACAAGCTGCGCGCACAGCAACTCGCGGGCTTTGCAGCCGTCAAGAATGATTCGCTGAAGCGTGGGTGCCTATTCATCTCGTAAGGGTGTATTCTTACCAACGTCATCCAGGCCTTGCGCGCGCCACGGGCAGAGACAAGACAAAGCTCTCTGCGGACCGGGCGATGCACTAGGTGTTCGAGCTCAAGCAGGGCAATGCAGAGAAGCTCTGGCAGATGGACTCCACATCCAACACCGCCTGGAGTCCCTGGACCGACGTGCGTCTCCTCTTTCATTCTTTGGTGATGTCCTTACCGTGTCCTCTCAGGACGACCCACACCAACGAATAGGTGCCCATGCCCTTGTGCAGGGACGTCGACGACCGCGATGCCGAGATGCAGGAGCTGACCACTAAATCCATCACGGATGTTTGTCCCCACCGCATTTCATCGCCCGCTCCCGCTAACGCAGAGCGCGTAGATGGACATCAGCGACATACTCGTGCCGCACCGTGTGGCGGCGGCATGACTACGACGAGGTGGGCGCGATCGATGCGCAATTCGTGACGCTGCCCGAGGACCGCCTCGCGCGCGTGAAAGCGGAACCACAAGGCGAATCTGGAGGGGAGGCGGTGGGCCGCGTGGAGGTGCTCGAGGCGGAGCGTAAGCGCCGCGAGCGCAAGAACCGCGTGGATGGTGTGCCCGCGGTGGTTGACCCCCGCGCACAGCTGCGCACGGTCCCGCGGCTGTTTGAGAGCGCGACACCGACGTCGAGGTGTGTTTGCCTGCTTGCTTCTCTTTATCCAGGAACTGACTAGAAGCTTCATGCAGACCGGGGATTCCGAACCTGCGACGCTGGGTGTCGCGCCGCCACTGCCGAAGAAGGGACTGTCGCCCTCTCCCGCGAAAACATCAATTCCATCGAGGTCGACCTCGGGGACTTTTAAATGTGTGTATCTCTGTCACTTGTTCTGTACGCGCTCGTCTGGGAATCCTCGTTGGGATAGAGTCATTATCACACATATCATACATACATTCATCATCGTCGCTTTGCCTGCCGGCATATCTTACTCATGAATTATTTATTTTCGCGCTGTGGTTCACGGTGTAGATCTTGTTAGGTTGTGTAGTTCACCTTTTTGTATTTTAGTGCAGCACCATGAATGAAATATATATATTTAAGGTTCTCCCTGTATCATATGAGCTTTCAATACCACTCTCTCTGGACGAAGTTCTGCAGACCAAAACAGGCAATGTTCTAACGTAGTTGTCGAGGGGCGCTTACAGCATTTCCAGGAAAATTCAATCAGGTATTTAAAAGCTGAGAGTCCCCTATTAAGTTTGGCCTATCAAGGGCGAGGAAGATTCCGGGTGAAGAGGATGAATATGAAAAAGAAAAGCACTGGCAGGACTCGAACACAAAACCGTTAACTGATGGGATTTTCCCAAGCGGACGCACAGTTCCAGTTCATCGAAGATGCCCTCATAAAGCAGTTCCCCCAGTACCGTGTCATCCGGCCTACGGCCGAATATTTGAAAAAAAACTTTTTTCAAATATTTCCCAGGACATAGCACCAGGGCCTCCAAATTAAGAAGTTAAGGTTGATGCGATCAAAGGACGATGGTGTGCAACTTCGGCTCGATTTGAATCATGCACCTCAAAGCATATAAAGAACAGCTCATCTTCAACGTATTGTGAACCAGATTAAAAGGTGCGAAAGTACGTCTTTGCCGCCACTACGCTGTCCGGAAGTTTAACGATGATGCGATCAAACGGCGGTGGTTTGCAACTTCCGCTCGATTGAATGGTGCACCTCAAAGTGTAGAAAGGATAGATTGGCATCTTCTCTGCATTTTGAGAAAGATTTGAAAGCGCTAAAGTATGTCTTTGCCGCCACTACGCTGTCCGGAAGTTTAACGATGATGCGATCAAACGGCGGTGGTATGCAACTTCCGCTCGATTGAATGGTGCACCTCAAAGTGTGAAAAAGATAGATTGGCATCTTCTCCGCATTGTGAAAAAGATTTGAATGTGCGAAAGTACGTCTTTCGCGGAAGGCGAGCCAAAACATACACTTAAGGGGAGTCGAACCCCTGCCGCTTGCTACCCTAATTACGCAGCGGTTACACCGATTACGTAAGCGCGAACATGGAAGGCAAGCATGATAACCGCTTCACCATAAGTGTCTTAGATCTAGTCTGCAATGTTAACAGGTAGGATGAAAAAGTGCACTAAGTCCGAATTTTTCGAGGACTTGTAAATTTTTTGAAAAACGGACAAGTGAACTGGCAAAAAATGCACCAAGTCCGGATTTTACGATGACTTGTGTAAAATTACGTGAACAGGACCAGTCAGATGAAGATGGGACGAAGAAGTCCGAATTTTTCGAGGACTTGTAAATTTTTTGGAAAACGGACAAGTGAACTGGCAAAAATGCACCAAGTCCGAATTTTACGGGATAATTCTATTTGGAAACCCGGTTGCGGGCAGAAACCCTGCCGCATTAGGACATTCCATAGAAATCCCTACCAAAGGTTAATGAGAAGCCCTGTGGGAATAACTTGACGGCGATCAAGCCGTCAGCGGAGTGTCAAAAATGCCTTCTAGTTTTTCAACTGAGTCCAACCGACTGTTCATCACGAGTCAGTCAACTAACCTCTGTGCTTACGGAACAATGTATTATACTTCACCGATGTCTTGCCGGTGTGTGCCAGGACAGTACACCAATTAATACCAAACCTGCATTTGATCCCATGTTGAAAAACCTGTTGGGCTCACACTTTTTATAGCTCAACCGGGAGATAGAACATAGTTAAGCTCAATGCAGTCATCTTACCAGTTCTACATCCCCAAACCATGTACACTATCATGCACCACACATCCAACATTGAGCAATGACATAATGGAAGAAAAGTGGATACCCAGCACAGAAGAAGTCTGGCAGGTGAATCAGGTACTAGTACAGTTCTCAATTATCCTTTCCTCCTGTTGAGCGTCTCACAGTTCAGGGAATTTATTCTGCACAGTACTACTCAATCGGCACGTTGATCGGCATCGGCCGGCACTGCGATCGGCATCACCTGGGGTTTCCAGCAACCCGGTTTCTGGATAACAAACTCAAAAACCGGGTTTCCAAATAGAATTATCCAATTTTACGATGAGTTGTGTAAAATTACGTGAACAGGACCAGTCAGACGAAGATGGGACGAAGAAGTCCGAATTTTACGACTTATAATTTTTTGAAACACAGACCAACGGGTACCTAAGTGAACTGGCAAAAAAATGCATTAAATCTGAATTACATGGCACAAGTCATCGCAAAATGTAAAAGGTTTTACAACGGTTATGGTTCTCGGTTCTCGGTTTTGGTTAACTTTTCAGATGCTTTTGTGATAAGACAAAACCAGATCCTGAACCGCCTCCAGAGAGGTTCTGCAAATCAAATGGTTCTGGTTTTTGGGGGGTTTCCCATGTTTAAATAAATCAGAACTGTCTTTAGAACCGACCGTGAAAACCGCCTCAAAACCATCTACTCTGACTGCCCCTAATGGACTTCAGATCCAGTAATTAATATCACATTCATGCAGCATTTTCACTCAATTCCATCAAGTACCGAGTTAACGGATGTTCTTTGACGAGTGAATAAATTACATACAACAATAGAATATGCTCGCTCTCCATCCTCGAAATCGAATTTTACGATGACTTGTGTGTAAAATTTCGTGAACAGGACCAGTCAGACGAAGATGGGACGAGGCACAACTTGGCCACTTGAATGGACTTTAACTAATATCGCATGGACCTACAGACAGCATCTAACTAGCGTCTTCACTCAATTCCGTCAAGTGCCGAGTTAACGGATGTTCTTAACTAAAAGGACCCAAGAAAATGAATAAATTACAAGCGACAATATGCTACAACTATCGATTCCTCACTCTCCATCCTCGAAATCCAACCCACCAGATGCAAAATCAACTTGTGTAACTGCGCCATTCTCGTCATCGACTTCCATGTCGGCCACCACCACGTCTGGATTCTCAGTCTCCATCCCCACGCTCAGAAAATCCAAGCACCCCCACAAGCACCCGCGCCATTTCAGCGGAACATTGCCGCCAACCGAAACCCCAGCGACGACGGGCTCCCATGTAAACCGTTCTTCTGCTGGCGTCACGAATATCGATGTTCTGTCACCGTGGCGGGGGGAGGGACATAAGCCGAGACTTGGCTGATTGTCTTCGGGCTTCAAAGTCTCGTCCTTGCAGACGCTCCCGGGATGAATAGCATCGAGGACGCGTCGCAAGTGAGGGGGAAGGACGTCTTTCTTCGAGGATCCAAGGCCGAGTTCGTCGTCTTTGTATAGTGGCAGCTCATAAAATTGCGCGAGCCGACGCTCCGAGTGGTCTGCCGTAGCAGGTCGCCCAGGCTCCGCAGCGAACATGGAGCGAAAGGCAAGCTCGACCAAAGGAGGGACGCATGTCAAAATTCGAGATGTCGGGGAGATTGCTACGCGCCCTTGGACGGACTTGGCGCGGAGGAACTGGCGCTTTGCCGATTGCTCCTCCGGTTCCTTAAAGGGGTTGGGATGGACATTAAGCGTAGTCAAGGACATATCGAGGAGTTCAGCCGGCAGGTAGTGCAGCTGATTTCCTGATACATTGAGCGTCTTTAGGTTTTTCAGATGCCGGACCTCAGGAGGCAACGTTTTGAGCTGATTGTTCCCTGAGATGTCGCTTAAATGGATATACGGGCATTCTGACTATCACTTACTGAGACTCAGGACAGTCAATCTATCGAGACATAATAGCTGCAGAGGCAACCGGGAAATCCGGTTCCCGGCGAGGAACAACTGGATCTCCTGTCGCGCGACGCCCACACGCGGGAAAGTTAGGCCAGACCCCAAGATAGCAGGGGCAGTGGACGAGCGAGCGAATTCACGGGGTAGCGGCGGTGGCGGTGGGCCAAGCGGCGCGATCACTCTCGCATTCGAACGCTCAGCTTTCTCCTCTGGCACAAAAAACTTGTGAAGATCCGCGATGCTCTCCGCCGGGATTGTAGACAAATTGCGGTTTCTTCATGCATGCGTCAATTATCATGACGAAACGTCGATAGATGTTCGACTCACTCCAAGTTTATGGCCCCATTCCCGTGGTCTATCACCGCCCCGACCGCGATATCCCATACTGCTTTCTCCTTCTGCGTCTCCGTGAGCGATATTGACGGTCGAGGGGAGGGTGTGAAGAGTGTCTCCAAGGATCGATCGGGGCTAACCAGACGCGGCTTTTTGACGCGACTACGGGTCGGAGAGGACGGCGACATGCGCCGATTCTTCTTTCCGCCTTTCTCATAGTCCGGAGGGATCCACGAGCCCTTGGCGGACGCCGCAAACGGGTGCACGGGGGGTGACGCGCGAGTCGGCGCTCCGCCAAAGTCATCGTCTTCCGGAAACGAGACGGCGCCAGGGGAAGACGCAGGGGACGAGTCGTTGTACGCGGTGGGCGACGACGGCGGCGACGAGGATGGCGCGCCTGACCAGCGAGTGTCGTCGTCGAACATAAGAAAGGCGCTAGACTTGCGTGGGGTGAAGGCTAAGCGTGCGCTGCGCTGAAGCAGCAGTGTTGACAAGCGCTCGTACACGCGGTCACGCGAGCACTCGACTAACATGACAGGAAAACTCTCACGGTTCAATACATGTTCATCCACCGCGCCACACGTTCCAGTCACATCCTCGAAAAGACTCTGACCATCGCCAGCTCTCTACGTGCGGTTTGCTCCAAGTTTGATTACTCGGCATCATCTCCGAGTTCATCTGAGCTCCTTCAATTTTCAAAAGTTTGGTTCTCCGAGTCCGATACAAACTCCCCATTCAATCATGTCCATAAATCCCGAGGAAAAATACAAAGGGTACAAAAATCTCAGTAGCACTCGACGGTAACGCTCTTAACAGTAGCCGTAATCTTGTCGGGCGCGCGTGTCCAGTCGATCGGCCCCCTTCCCCACTCCGCCGTTCCAGCAGGGCTACTGGAATCCCAGATTCCCAGTTGTATGCGCATGGGGTGGGTCGGATAGTGCAAGAAGCCGTTTCTCGTGCATTGATCTTTCAATCAAGTTAGACAAAAATTGATACCGCTGCGCGCGACACACCTTTGGTCAGCGTTCTGACAATATGCCCGTCCAGACTCCAAGCAATTCTGTCGGTGTTCACGTCGATGCTGTACGAGTGAAGATCTGCGATGCTGTCGACGGACTCCTTCGAGCTGAAGACGCCATATTCCGGTCGCGTGACTCGCGGATCGGGGACGAAAATATTGGTTTGCCAGCTGTCGGTTTCCCCGCAGACGATTTCGATATCTATCTCGTCGAGTGACGGATCGCCTAGATGGAAATGTAAATTTAAGGACTAGAGACGCTTGTGGCGCGTACCGATCAGGATTCCCGCGACAATTACGCCAGCGATGGTGGGAGCAGCCATCTGGAATGTTACCTTTCCAGCGCTACGAAGATGTGATGTTAATATTCTAGGGATAAAAAGAACCAGTGGTGCTCACGACAGAGTGAAACTCGAATTTATCGTCGCACCGTCCCCGAGCTTGTCGTTGACGCCCGCCGAGGCGGTAACCGGCCCATTTGGCTTGTAAAGATACATCTCGAGTCCTTTATCTGTCAGGGCATACGATCGCTCAGGACTGATGGGCGTAAAGCGAGAATTGAAACTTGGCGAGGCAGATTTGTCCGAGAACATCATGTTTAGTGGTTGGCATCGTGTGTCGCGAGGGCTGTGTTCCGCTGCGTTGCAAAAATTAGCCCAGAAAATGAACGTGAAGGCGAGGAGGGTAGGGATGTGCATGGCGGGCAAATAGTAAAGTCGAAGACCAAGATGTCGCGGTCATGTGATCCCAGTGTTCGGTCAAAGCGATCTTTCGCAACTTGCACCTCTTCCGAATTGACGCGAAAAAACCACTCCTACCCATTTTTATGATCTGTGTTCTTCTGGAATGTCTGATTCCCCTGGCCAACCCTAAAGCTACCCACCAGGGGAACTGCCCCTGAATTCTATTCATTCACGGTCAATCCGCGGGTAATTCTAGGAACGTGGTTCGTGGCCCCACCTTGAAATACTCCCGCCAGGTACCACAGTGAAATCCCGGTGGTATCAGCACTCAAGGCACCACTGAGTAGTCTGGTATTT